CTTGAGAGTTTTATTAATTCTACCTTAAAATTGTTTGCCTATGTTGAGAAATAAAGGAAAATGTATTTTTAAATGTAGGTAATTAGCCACGCGAGATTTTGTTTTCTTTTAAATGCCATTTTATGTCGCAAAACGCATAGAGACAGAATTATTATTCAAGCAAATAATAAGATAAGCAGTCAGTGTACTTTAATTTTCCATAATCTCAAAAGTAAATCCAAAACTTTTTGTATTTTATGTCAAAAACTCCTCGCTAAAAATAACCCTTTGTCAAAATAGGCACGAGTACTTATAACTTAATTTTTATCTCTTAAATAAAGGAACAAACTAAGAATATTTATTTTTCAATTAACAACAAATTGTAAAACAAAAATAATTTAAAATAAAATCAGAACAACTTAAAAACCTCTCAAAACCCTCAAAAATTTATTTTATTTATTTAAGTCAATTCTACGTTTTTTAGCTAAAGGAGAACTAGACGATGTAGCTTGCGTTGTATGGATATGTTTACATCGAATATAATGCACCAAATATATCTCCTTTTCAATCTCCTTGTTACAGAATTCGCATAATTTTTTAAAAGGCAATCCTAAATTTAAAATTATTAAATAAATTAAATTTATTTAAATCAAATTATTATTTTAATCAAAATTTTGTTGGAAATAAAAATTCTTTTTTGAAATTATAAATTTCGCTTGGCTAATAAAATTTAATATTCTACATATACATATTCTAGATATTTTGCTCATCTAAGCTAAAATTATTTACTAAAAAACTTGTACAAGTAATATAATTAAGGATATTCTCTGATATAACCACATCCTACGAGAGGATCGAAAAATACAAGCACAGGTGGTTCTATTAGAAGATTTACGGTATTTTGGGTACAGCCCAAGTAAGCGCTTGCTTCAAGATTTCTTGCTTCAAGATTTCCTATTCTTACAAAATTTAGTATTAAACAATTCCTGTCATCGATCTAAAGATTGATAAGGGCCACAATTTTTCCAGCAAGTTATGGCTTTGCGCAGTTATGGCCGCGCGCCTACATGGGCGCGTCCCTATTCCCTTTTATCAAAATTCTACCAGTTAAAATCGAAATAGTTTGTGAAACCAGAAATTTAATTTCATTATATAAGTTGAGCAGATCAACATTTTTTGTAATAAACCAACATGGAAGTCTATTCTATAAATTAATTAAAAATTAAATTAATTGTTATATTAGTATGCTGGGGTGGCTTGTTATAGATAAGCGCTTTTTTAAATAAAGGCCTTTGTAGTATCATAATTTAGAAAAATTTAGCAATTATATAATGGTGACAGAAATAGGTAGGAAGAAAAGAAAAAGGAATAATGAATGTGAATGAAGCTTAATTCGAAATTTAGATTTCCGGATTTCAGCGAATTTTTCGTTTCGAAACAGCTCTGTTTGGGAAAATAAAAAATTTAGTGATTCGTTCAGGCGAAATATTAATTGTAGTATGAAGTTTGTTCATACCATACTATCGTATTGAGTGCTACAAACTAGAGATCGGACCGTACCGTACTACGGCAGTATTTTTCGGTATTCCGAATCGATAGTACGGCACGGAATACGGTACGGCAAAATTTTGAAGTTGATCGGTATTTTTCGGTATTCCGTACCGTTTTACGGAACGGAAACGAAACTAATTAATTTTTAAATTAATTTTTTCAAATACGGTACGGAATACCGATAAATTTTTATCGGTATTTATCGGTATCGGTATAATACGGTATTACGGTACGGAACAAAATTCCGATCTCTACTATAAACTTTTTCAATAATTTATTTAAACTCCAAAAAACATTTTAAAAATTAAATTTAAAAATCTAGAAATTTTAATTACTTGAAATGCAAATTGTTTAGTCTCAATATTTCTAGTAACTATTATAATAGAATCCTTTTGGAATTTTCCAATAATTTGTTTAAACTCCAAAGAATTATCAATACAATAAACTGAAAATTAAATTAGAAATAATTTTCTTTTAATTTTCAACACCATTTTCAGCTTCAACATGTTCCCCCATTCTGTATAACAATAAACGCCCTAAGGCCCCAGCAATCGTTGCACAAGTTGTTTTATTAGAAACAATTACATTTTTATGATCTCTAAAAATATTTTTATAATTTAATTTTAATTAATTTCATGTATGGTAGGACCCCGCCATTTTTGGTTGAAAATTCCGGTGTGCCGTGGTTAGGTTCAAAAAATCATTTTAGTTGGGGTTGAAAGTTTCAACTCCGAGACATTGAAAGTCCCAACCCTCCAAACAAAGCTTATATCAGGTTTTGGCGTTATTATTTAATAATTAAACGAACCCTTCATGAACTAAATTGAAGCTTTTTTTATACAATAAAATATTAACGTCAGGCATTCTCTAAATTCAAAAATAAATTAATTATTTTAGGTAATACCTCAATATTATCTAAAAATTTGATAAATTCAACCGAGTTAATTCCACAATTTCTTAACAACTCTAAATTAAAAAAATGTAAAAAATTCTGTATATAAAAGAATCTAAGACGATATAAGAGTTGGTGAAGGAAATATAGATGAACTGAATCCCGATAATATATAAATAAAAGATATATTTACTGTATATCTCTGAAAAATAAAGACTTCTATCCCGACCTAAAAATTGTTATCGAAAGAAATTTTTTTAGGAAATTTTTAATATATCTGAATAAAAATAATTCAGGGCCCTATTTCAATTGTCCACAGATTCTGCGGTCTGCGTTCTGTGCACAGACCACAGAACCACAGAAATTCTGTTTCAATTATTCCACAGATTCTGCGGAAAAAGAAGTCCGCAGATTCTGTGGAAACATGCACAGAATCTGTGGAAACATCCACAGATTCTGCAAAACATCCAAAAACATGCAAAAACCACAGAATTCTATTTCAATTATTTTTCTGTGCACAGAAAAAAATCCACAGATCTGTGGCTTTTTTAGTCGATTCTGTGCATTTCTGTTTCAATTATTTCTGTGGTCTGCGGAAAATACACAGAATTCTTTAAAAAATCCACCCTAAAATTTTTTCTGCGAACTTTCTGTGGAAAAACTTTAACAATTTTTTTCTAGGCCTAGGCTTAACCAAATTTCAAAATTTTTAAAGATTATTAAAGTTTGAATCATTCTCTATTTTTTGATATAAAAATTATAATTTTATTACCTAAAATTATTGCTTAAAATTAATTTTGAAAAAGGTACATCTTTTTTACGCAGTTTTTGTTATATTCAAGCAATAAAAAAATAAAAAACGTGAGAGATTCTGAAATTTAGAGCTATGATGTTCTAATCATCATGGATATCTCTAATGAGGGGATGTTTACCAGGATCTATAGAATATATCTGTATAGCGTATACTGGGATATCTCCCATGATCTCTCATTGATATCCGTCATAATCTCTCCTCCTATTTAATGATAGATTTCCTCCTTAATCACTCCAATATATTAAACCTCAAAATCAATGGATATCCCACTTAATCACTCCTCTACGATTTTAAAGTTCCGATTTGACTATAATTTTGGATTCCAGGCATTTTCGATTTCCAGGAACCTCAATTTCTGACTAAACAATCCCCAAACATTTCCCTCCCTTGCAACAACTTCTATCGTAGTTTGAAAAAGCCACATGTCGGATCGACATCTCCTGATTTTTCCGATCCGAACCCTGCTTTAGGACATTAATTTAATTGGAGATTTAAGGATATTGGATGAACAAGAAAATTAAGCGGTATATCAGCGGTTTTAAAGTGATATCAAAGAGATTTAAAGGGATGTTATGTGATTTGGAGGGAAAATTTTTAAATCTTTACAATATTTTTCAGTTTAATTTAAGAATTTTTAAAGTTTTACTTCAAAAAATCAGGTACCATTAATACTGCGGTAGTACCGAACTGTCCAAACCATTTTTCGTTTCAATAAAACTGTTATTTTCAAAAACGCGGAAATAAAAAATTTGAATTTAGAAGAAAAAATACACAGAACCACAGAAAAATAATTGAAATACAAATTCTGTGGATCAGTGGAAAAAATCCACAGATTTTTATATTTTCCACAGAAATTTTCATCCACAGAATCTGCGGAATGTTTCCACAGAATCATTGGATGTTTCCGCAGAATCTGCGGGCACCACAGATTCTGTGCACACAGAATTTAATTGAAACAGAATTTCCACAGAATCTGTGTTCTGTGCACAGAATGCAGAATCTGTGGACAATTGAAATAGGCCCCAGGACAGTTTCTCTATAATTAACAATCAAACAATAAACGTATCAGGAAAAATAAATCATCCCCTAGCCCTTTTCTAAAATATCTACAAACAACCTTCAAATAGGGATAACTTTTTAAAATATTTGTATATGGCGTGTATTTGTTTTAATTTTTCTGTCATATAACGAAGATTTGAAGATGTATTCAAAGCACTTTGTTCAACATTAGACGAAGAAGAATGAGGGATACGGAAACCAATATTCTGAAAAATCAAAATAATTTTGGCTTTAATTTAGTAATAAATTTTAAAAGAAAAAAATCTCGATGAAAAAAAACATCGTGATTTGTTTTGCTCCATTTTAGGCAACAATTTGGGGCTTTAGTTTCGAAAAACTCGGAATTAATATATGTTTATGGTTTTTTAATTCATAAACTCGTCTTTAACAAATTTAAACCCTTATATGGAGAAAGATTGGAAAATTTCGAATGTGACGTTTTCTTAACAGATATTCAAAATATAAAGCAAGTATAAAAAATATTCTGATTGTAGGTCTATTTAAAATTTCCATTGAACGTAAACAATGGCCAATAAGCATTTATTGAACTAATGGTTTATTAAAGCATTAAAAATTGCAATTTTTGGTGCCTTCACCAAAATATTAATTTAAAGATTTTCGAATATGATTCAATCCCTTTAGAAAATTTTTTTGACTACGTTCTTGCTTGTCACCAATGTTAAAAACGAGTTTTAAGTATATTTCTTAATCCAAGGGTTTTAAATACATAATTCGATTAAAAGTTACCGGAACATCCAAAATATTTGTGAAGTTAAAAGATTTAAAGTTGCTTATTCCAAATAAATTTCTTAATAACATATTTAATGGTCTCTGAAATTCGTCCCAAATTCGAAGAAATTGCGAATGGTATTTGTCAATAAACACCCAGTTATCCTTTAATTTGATTAAATCAAAACAGAATTACCAAAAAATCTACCAATTCCCAAATAAAAGTATATTTTTTATTCTGTACAGGAACTTGGCTTGATATTGCTGAACTTTCAGGCTCACGATTGCTCTCATACATGAATGAACTTGGCTTTACTAAAATTTTATTTAACAATTTTTATTTTTGAAGTTATTTTTGGCTTTTGTGATACCGTAAATGCTGAAAAAATGTCCCTCTCTCAGATAATTGTCCCTTACAGCCGGCGATCAAAAAATAATTACCCCTCCTAAGAATATTTATAATTAGCCTTTTTGAAAAAAAAGCTCAAATAATTACTCCCTTCCTTATAATTACACCCTCCAGCGAGAGGGTGAAACAATAATTACCCTGGCTAATTATTTTAGCAAATACGTTAAGTCCTCCTATAGTCTGGTATTGTAAGGGTGTTAAATCTGGGTGAGTAGAGCTTAATTTCTCATAGATTTCACGTAAGCGTTTTAATCAAGTAATTCAACACCTAAATTCAACTTCTTACCACATGAACATATATCCTGAAGTAATTTTTTTGAGATATTCTTCTTTTTAATTTTATTCCCTTCTTCAATTAACTTCTTTCCTTCTTGTACAAGCTTATTACCCTTAGCAATAATATTATCCCCTTCTCTATCTTCTGAAGATTCTTCCAAATTTCTAGCCAAGGCTTTAATTAACGAAAAATATTCAGACTGACGGTGTGATACCTATATTTGAAAAATATTTTTTCAGAAATTTCTGGATTTTTTCCATAAAAATTAAAAAAGTATTCACCTCATTAGGATTATTTTTATCCATTTTAATTTATTTTTAAAAAATTCAAATATTGTAATCTAAAAATTAATTAAGTTTGGCAAAAGGGGAAGATATGAAAAAAACATATGTACATATAAGGAACCTTTAATATGTAATAAAAAATGTTCGCATTTATGTAAATAAAAAAAGAAATGAATAATCAATCGAGTGCCTAACTTAATTTTTAAAATTTAAACGAATTTTGTGCGGTTGTGAACATTTAAGTCCAGATTAGAGATCGGAATTTTGAAAAAACCGGGTCCGGGAAACGGGTTCTGAAGGTTGACGAACCCTGACCGGGAAAAACAGGGAATTCCCGTTCTCGGTTTCATCCCGGTCAGAAATGACCGGGTCCCGGCCGGGAAACTGGGAACTTCTTAATTTGTTATAATGGGGCTGTATTTTTCCACATGGGGCTGTATTTTTCAACTATCCTTTTATACTTATTCTAAATAACCTCTATTAAAATAAGTAAATGGCATTCGGAGGCTATAGTGCATAAGGATTACGTGGGATATCAGTGGATCTTGTGTGATACCAAGATTCAGAAGAGGTTAATTAAAATTTAAAAATGTTTTAATCAATATTAAATGTTAAATAATAAACTATTGGGCATTATCTGCATAGACTGGATAGACCCTTAAACTTGCTTCTTGCTTCAGACACCCCCATGGTATTAAAAAAATTGAGCTTAAAGTTTTTACTCTGTTATCCCTTAAGAAAGAGATAAAAATAAAAGATGTCATTTTTTCATTGGACTCATAAACTAGACACGATTCTAAAACCTTCTACCTTGGCTTTTGCAAAATATTCGCCAACATAAAAGTATATAATTCCCGAAGATGTCAATAAATTTGTAGCGCATTCATACCAATATCTCGTAATAATTTGTCGTCCTCTTGATGTTTTATTTAAAAATAATTCTATTTGACCAAAACATGTAGTAGGATAATTACTGTAATACCAAAACTTAACTTTTACTTAGCAATATAGCGAAGTGTTTTTAACAGAATGGACCTTTTCCCCTTTTTGGGTGAATTTTTTTAGTTTTGATTATTCGATCCGCTCACCGAGTTGACGAGTCATAGAATTGACTATGGACCGAAATACAGAACTCCGAATCTAACAGAAGCACACTCTATGAGATAAGCACGCCTATAAGTGAAGGCGTAGTGACAGAAGACCCACAGACAGAAGACCCAAGGACAGAAGAACCACAGACAAAAGACCCACAGACAGAAGACCCACAAGGACAGAATACCCACAGACAAAAGACCCACAATAAAATTTTTTAACTAAAACTTTAGAAAATTTTTTTGAAATTTCTGAAAGAGATTTCCCATTTTCAAAACACAAAATTAATTCTAAAGTTAACCAATAAAATTTTTACCGTTAAATTTTATGGATGAGTTACCGTTAAATTTTATGGATCTTAACAAGTAAATCGGATATGTCAGGGAATTTAAAGGATGTAAACTTTTTAAGATTTTATAATTCCACTAATCCGCTTATATCCACCGATATCCCTCCATTTACTAGTGATGGTCGGGATTCCCGGTCTCGGTTCCCGAGTCGGGAAATTTCCCGGGTTTTTTGAGCTCTCGGTCTCGGTCTCGGTGTTTTAGTCTCGGAAAACGAGACTAAATTTACACCCCTAATGACGGAAATTTTTTGAACTTTTTGAAGGAAAAGGGAAAGTAATATTTATAAATTCTCCCATTTGTCTTTTGATGGTCGATGGTTAAGTGGTTAAGTTGACTGACTTCTCTCACTTGAATGCTGGTTTGTTGTGTCACAAGTCCCAGTGGAACATGTGAGACCTCCTAACCTCTTGGTCTCGACTCTCGGTCTCGACTCTCGGTCTTGACCCGGGACTCGGTCTCAAAGTTGATTCCCGGTCTCGGTCTCGACTCTCGGGTTTTTTTAACTCCCGACCATCACTACCATTTACTCAGAAATAATTAACTAATCTACTATTCCAAAGATCCCCGATGTACTTGCATATCCTTGATCGCTTATAATCCTTCTATATCCCTCCATGGGACTTAACTAACTCTCGTTATAATCTAATTAATCCTAAATACCCCTTGATCCTAAATATCCCTTTGATCTACTTTTCCCTTTCATCATCACTGACAAAAAGTTTGGGAATTTTGAAAGACCAAGAAGCCAGATTGCTACTTTTTTAGTGACACAGGTGCGAATTCTGAGAATTTGGGAAGGCCAATTAGTTATTTTTACACTATTTTTTTATATCTGATTTTTTTAAACGACATGGACCGGATTTTCCGGGACAAAATCCCGAAAATCCGGGAAATCAAGATCCCTCTTCATTAAACAAGCTCCCCCGTTGTTGCAATAAGATTCCCCATTGTTAAAATAACATCCACGTTGTTGGAACAAACTTCCCGATTGTTAGAACAACCTTCCCTAATATTGAAACAACTTTCCCGTTGTTGGATCAATCTCTTATTAAGGAAAACAGAACTAACAACAGCAATTTAAAAAAATGTAAAAACAAAAAAGTTGTGGGTATTTTGTCTGTGGGTATTCTGTCCGTGTGGGTCTTCTGTCTGTGGGTCTTTTGTCTGTGGTTCTTCTGTCCTTGGGTCTTCTGTCTGTGGGTCTTCTGCGTCGACACGATAAGTGAAATTAAAACTAGGAGCACATGTGGATCGTGTGAATCTTTACGGTCCGGTCCGATAACATTGGACAGACTCGAAAACGGCAACACTAATTAAAAGGAATATCAAATGAACCCAATAAGCAAGATTTCTTGCATTTTCAGAGCTGAAGGCGAATTTTGTGAATTTTGGAAGTCCAAGACCTTTGATCAACTCTTTCAACAAAATAGTCATGTCGATTTCGAACAATTTCTCGGTTCGAGTTTCGGGTCTAAAAATAGCGCGGGGTATTAGTGGCGGGTCTGTATTTCACATTTTGGGGTCTGTATTTCGGTCCATAGTTAAGAAACAGGGCTGATTTTGTTGTTATTCGATACAGCTTGACGAGTTTTATAATCTTTTGATTATATGTAGATCTGAATCCACCGATTCTGAATGGGTCCCAGACTAAACTTTTTAACTTTTTGGCCGGTGAACAACCTAGGTTTGGTACTTATTTGCACCCCCCCCAGCTAAATACTTTGTTTTAATTTTACCCCAATTGTAATCCGTGAGTAAAAAAATTACTAGCTTCCCTAAATATATTAATAAGTAGTTCATGAGGTAGAGTTTTTCTTTTATTTATTGATGTTTTTGTTTTACAATTTTGCTGTTTTTCTTCTTTCATTTGGAATTGTTAATTTTTTGGGAAAGTTTCGGGGTTAATAGTTAATAATTTAAATATAATTTAAATTTACATTAATTGGCTTAAATCAGGGCTTCGATCTCTAATTTTTAAAAATCAGCTATTTTGATCGCATTTGATATGAAAAATCCGCAAATAATTATCAATCACAAAAATTGAATTAAAATCACTTTCTGCGTTATAGTTTTTGACTCCAACAATTGAATTGAGCAATTTTTTCACTACTATTGACTATTGTATTAAAATCCGAACAATTAAATGAAAAATTACAGTTGAATTTAGCCGATGCTTTCACCGTCCTGAATTGTTTATTCGAAAAATAGTCTTTTTTTGCGCCGCAAGCGAAAGTTCTGCTGATTTAGAAGGCCATGAAGACAAAAAATGGCATTCTATCTTAAAAACTACAAGAAAATACAAAAAATCCTCATAATCTTCAAAAGACCAATAAAATCCGCAAATCCGCATTTTAAATATAATCCTCATCTACTTATCAAAAAACCACAAAATGAGGAAAAATCCGCAGAAATCGTAGCCCTGGCTTAAATACATTATATATGTACTATGTCTGGAATTTAACTAATGTAAAGGGTTTTATGTGAGTAATATGAAGAGAACTCTTCCTTTTTTACTGCACACTTTATGCACAAAAATCAATACATTTTACTCAAACAATTATGTGCCAGTTTCGCCTTCCGACGTGGTAAAAATCAAAAAAAAAATTTTTGTAGATTTACAATCACCATCTCATTTCCGCTATTGTCGTTCTTGCTCACGATCAGGTTCTCGTTCACAAAATTCGCCAAATGATTCTCAACAAATTTTTATTTTCCGTTAAGAGACAGGGCTTTTTAATTCAAAATAATAAATTTATTATCGAAAATTTTATTATTGCAGTTATTCTAAACATAATTTAAAATAAAAAAAAAGTTTTCACAAAATTAGATATTTGTTAAATTTATTATATTTAATTTTATTTTTCGTTTTCAATTTTATATTTATCAATAACTGTTGAGGGGAAGTGATCAATAAATTTAAAATATAGAGAAGGTTAAAACAAACAATAAAATAAATAAAAATGTAAAATCACATTTAATAACCTTACTAATAATTTGTTTGTTTAAATTTACGTAAAAATTTATTTTTTAACAAAATTAAACAAAAAAAAAGATTAAATTATTCTTTTTAATTTACTCAAATATTTATTTAATTAATTATTTTTTAATTCCATAGAAATTAATTAAAATTCCCCTAAAATAATTATCAAAAATAAATATTAATTTATCATTTAATTTTAAAATTCGATTTAAATGGGTATTGAAAAACGTGAGAATAATGTTCGAGATTTGATTGCTTTTTGGTTTGTCATTTTATTTGGGTACACCCCATTATACCGCACCCCACCATTATACCGCAGCCCAATATACCGCCGCCCAGTATACCGCCGCCCATTATACCGCCGCAAAAATTTTTTATTATCTTGGTGGGGGATGTAAAATAGTGACGGGGGATGTTGGTTCGTCAACGGGGGATGTTGACCTAATGCGGGAGATGTTAAATATTGACGGGGGATGTTGTTCCAATGACGGGGGATGTTGACCCAATGACGGGGGATGTTAACAAGCGACGGGGGATGTTGGTCCGTAAACGGGGGTCATTGAAACAACATTCCCCGTCACTATTTAACATCTCCCGCCAAGATAATAAAAAATTTTTGTGGCGGTATAATGGGCGGCGGTATACTGGGCGGCGGTATAATGGGCCCGCGGTATACTGGGCGGCGGTATATTGGACTGCGGTATAGTGGGCGGCGGTATAATGGGCGCGGTATACTGGGCGGCGATATATTGGACTGCGGTATAGTGGCCTGCTCCCTTTTATTTTTAATTGGAAAGAATAAATTCTCTCATTTAAAGGATTTTTGGTTTGGCAAATAATTTTGCCTATGTAATTATGCTTAGTGCTGCTGATGATATTATTAAAAGTCAGCACAAACATAATCCTCAACATAATAATAAAACAAATATTTCAAATCAATGCATTGTAAAATTGAAAAATTATTTAAAAATTCGAGAAATTTAAGGAAAATATAGGGAATCCAAGGTGTGAAAAATACATGTCTACTGGTGCTGTCCTTTTAGCAGATATTTTGCCTGCAATGGTTATTAAATATACAATGCCTTTCTTTATGAATCGTATACCTTTTGGGTATTTTTTAAATTTTACTATGAATAGTCAAACGTTGTCTCCTTCGAAATAAAAAGCCTGGATACTAGATAATTTTTGGTCTGGATATCATGGTGTGAAAGTATCTAGACAGTTTCTAAAGCGGTCCAAGAAATCACCATCTTATTTTAACTTTACTACATACTCTAACGTTGCTAGATAAAAATCTTAAATAATTTTTACACTCCCTATTTTCTGTTTAAGTTATTATTGTAATCCTTCAGTTAATTTATGCTACTGTTTGAAATTAACAATAAGATCGGTCAGGGAGCGTCGTACAAAAATTGGCATTCATATCTTGATCCAATCTCTAGTTTTAATTATTTTATTTATTTTTAAATTAAAAGTTTTCGACATTTATTGGTTTGTTTACTTCAAGCTTCAAGTTATTTAGTTGTTGCCTTTTCCCCAAACATTCAAATATCCTTGTTTGGCGTTGTTTTGGCAGCATTGGGATCTGGATTGGGAGAAATATGTTATTTGGCATTAAGCTCCCATTATTCCAAGTTTTTAGATCTTTTACTCCTCTTAATTTGAATCTTAGATCAACAATAGCTTCTTGGTCCTCCGGCACGGGAGGTGCTGGAATAGCCGGAGCTTCAGCATATGCAATTCTAACTGAACCAAAATTTTTTGATATGTCCCCAAGAAATGCTTTATTAGTTATGCTTATCGTTCCAATAATCTTTGCAATAACGTAAAAATAAAATTTTTTGAGAAAATAATTAAATAATTAATTAGTTATTGGTCATTATTAACACCTGTATTGACCGTTCACAGAATTAATTTTTTCAAAATTTCAACGTGGATTGTTCCTGTCCAAAATATTAAAGAAAAAGAAAATCTAAAAATTGAAGAAGAAGAATATGATGGTAAAGCTTATACACACAATTTTACTTTTAAAGATAAATTAAAAATAATTTATGTAAGATTTAATATTTTACTTATGTAGAATAAATTAATTTTTAATTTTAGCCATTGTTGAAATATATGGTTCCACTCAGTTTTGTATATTTTGCTGAATATTTAATTAACTCGGGATTGGTAAATATGTATTAAATATTTAATTTATTAAAAAAAACAAAAATCGGTATGGCTTATCTGCACCCACAGTTTCCTTTACGATCTTTTAAAAATAAGTAACCAAATCCCAAAATTTCTATAGTTTTCGTAACTACCGTATTTGCTAAAATAATTACCCAGGGTAATTATTGTTTCCACCTCTCGCTGGAGGGTGTAATTAAAAGGAGGGGGTAATTATTCGAGCTTTTTTCAAAAAGGCTAATTATAACTATGTTTAAGGGGGGGGGGGGGGGGGTAAATATTTTTTCGATTTCTTGCTTTAGGGGGTGATTAATAGGGCGGAGGTAATTATTTGAGAAATTTTTCTATAATTAAAAATAAATTTAACTAGCATCAATTAATGCATTTTGACTGTTCACACGGTTTTGGTTTATCATTAGAAAGCCAATTTCGTTGGTATATGGCATTATATCAATCGGGCGTCTTCTTTTCTAGAACTTCTGTTGCTTTTTTAAAATTATCTTCATTTGCATTATATTTTCTTCCTTTTTTACAGGCTTGTAGAAAAAATTATAAAATAAAAAAAATATTTTTTAGTGTTTAAATTTAGCAATATTTTTAATTCAGTCAATTAACCAATTTATTCCTCATATTGGAATAATTTTTATTTTAACATTTATTGAAGGAATTTTTGGGGGCGCTTCATATGCTAATACTTTTGATAGAATACACAAAGAAGTGAAAAAGTTTTTAAAAAATTATTTAATTGTTTTTAAGGCTTCCTCTCAAACTCGAGAATTTAGTCTTTCTATAGCTTCAACAGGAGATGCTATTGGAATTAGTTTAGCTGGTTTCGGTTCAATTATAGTTCACAATTATATTTGTAAATTATATCCAATTATTTATCCTTAATTAATTTTTAATTGTTGTATTTTTGTATTCAGATAAAAATTGAAGAATGAAGATGAATTTAATAAAGTTTTTAATCTTTAGGATCATAGTAGGCTCTTAGACTTTTTATGTCTATTAACATTTTTACGCGTTCTAAGATTACGGGTCAATCATTAAATACTTTGAGTAACTAGTCTTAGACAGTGACCTGGATTCATGAACGAGACCAGTCTCTATTACATCAATAGGATATCAAATATGAAAAATAATCAAAAATAAAGTGACGCAAACTTTGCGGACCCGAAATTTCCGTAACGAAAGTTGCGGACACGATGCTTGCGCACCTGATTATTGCGGACTCAAAATTTTGAGGAATTCAAAATTTTTATTTTAACATTTATTGAAGGAATTTTTGGGGGTGCTTCATATGCGCGCCAAAAATATGGTAAACCCCCGAAATTTCCGTAACGAAAGTTGCGGACACGATGCGGTACACCTCAATTGAGTCCGCACGATTGAGTCCCCACGATTGAGTCCGCACGATTGAGTCCCCACGATTGAGTCCCGGCACAATTGAGTCCCCACGATTGAGTCCGCACGATTGAGTCCCCGTTGTATATACCTCAATTGAGTCCCCTAGATTTAATTATATTAAAAAAGATTAAGAGGGATATTTGGGGATTTGGAGGGATTAATGTTAATATCAGGGGACTTGTATGCGACATCGAGGTATCAAGATGGATATTGGTGAATATCAAGGGATATAAGTAGATTTAAGCGGGGATATCGGTTGAATTAAGGCAGATATCAACAAATTCGGAGAGATTAAGATGGATATTGTGGGTTTGGGGATTAGGAGGGATATCGAGAGATTTTTTGAATGACAGCTCATTCGAAAGTAGTGAGTCGAATGACACCAAAATCAACATTGTTGAACAAGTTCTCGCCGAGATATGGGGCTCGAAATGGTGGATTTTTTGGTGGAATTCCATGGGGAATTTTTGTTGCGAAACATTCGAATAAACAAAAAATAGCTCATTCGAAAGGGATCGACGAGATGAGTTGAATAAGACCAAAATCAAGTTGATTGAATGATTCTGAACAAATTTTGACCAACAGAATCTTCGCTGGAAAAACTTTTTGTGCTGCTATGGAGGGTAGGGGAAACTATCTAAATTACGAACGTAAAAACTCCTTCCTAATTTCCGGACTCCGGCAGAATTTACCTGGATACGGGAGAAAATCAAAATGTGAAAAAAAAATAAAAAAATATTTTTTAAAAATTTTATCAAAAAAATTAAAAAAAACCAAAGTCTAGCTTCAATTATTGTGCCAAAGAAGGGCCTTTCTTTCGTTTTTTGTTCTCCTAAGTTCACCACCTTCGTTCCTTCAGAAACTGTGAACTTGAAAATCGCCAGTCAGAAACTGACGAAAATCAACTAAAAAATTTTAAAAATAAAAACGAAAAACAAAATAAAAATTCCAAACCTTTTCAAATTTCCCATCGTTGCAGCCGTGGGATGAAGTCCGTCACGTGATGAGCAAAGTTAGACCAACCTGAAATATAAAATCTAAAATTAAAAAATAAAAATTAAACTTTTACCTACACAAGATTCTCGTCCTCCCTCTCGTCCTCATTGAGAAAATTCAGTGCTCGGATGGACTTGAGTGGATGCTCGGTCAACTAATTAACAAAATTAGTTGCAAACCCCAAAAGAAAAACAAAAAAATAAAAAAAAACAATAAAAAAATCTAGGAAAATAAAAATTCCTACCGGGAATTTTTAACGGGGACTCAATTGAGGTATATACAACGGGGACTCAATCGTGCGGACTCAATCGTGGGGACTCAATTGTGCCGGGACTCAATCGTGGGGACTCAATCGTGCGGACTCAATCGTGGGGACTCAATTGTGCCGGGACTCAATCGTGGGGACTCAATCGTGCGGACTCAATCGTGGGGACTCAATCGTGCGGACTCAGTTGAACTGCTCCGGACACGATGCTTGCGCACCTGATTATTGCGGACTCAAAATTTGAGGACCGACACTTGAGTAGAAAAGGAAAAATTGAAAATTTTTTTTTTGACGATTCCGACAGAGTTTATATGTATGATCTCGTACCAGATTAGGATTTTTTCCGGATTTTTCAAAAAAAAATTTTTTTATAGATTTTTTGTTTTAAAATTAAAAAATTTAATTAATCGGAAAAATTCATTAAATTATTTATACGGGCATTTCATAAGGTCACGATGCCTGAATTTCTCCCAATTAACGCCGCAGACTTAAATTTTTGAAATGTCCGAAGTTCAAAATTCGGGTTCGCAAATTTCGGCGCGCCAAAAATATGGTAAAATAAAAAGAATGTAAAATGAGATTAAATAAGGTAGGAATGTTTATTTTTAAATTTAACAACAAATCATAAAACAAAAATAATTTAAAATTAACCAGAAAAACTTAAAGCCTCAACACTAGCTTCTCAAAGTTTTTTTTAATTCAGTTTTGGTTTCTTAGCAGAACAAGTAACAGCTTCATCAGCTTTTTTCTTCTTCAAAATTTTACATCGTACCACATGTATAACAAAAGATTCTTGATCAATCTCCTCATTACAATATTTACATAATTTTTTATCTGTCGACCCTAAATTTATGTTATAAAGTTATTGCAATTATTAATAGGGTTGGGATATAGTTTAGTCGAGAGCCCGCTCCAAACCGGTTCGAAACATATGTCATTCGATTCGTCTCGGCGAGCTGAGTCGAATGGTACCACTCCCTAAGTGCAGAAATGCCTGTGGACCGAGATATAGGTCCCTGAAATTTGAAATACCATAGGGGGAGTAAGCTGATTTTGGGTTGAAAAATTCGATTTTTTGTATGATAGCTCATTCGAAAGAGCTCCTCGAGCTGAGTCGAATGACACCAAAATCAGCTCTAGGTCTCAACTTTGAGCCGAGATAAAGAGGCTCAAAATGGTTCAAAACACAGGGCGATTTTAGGAGTCAAAAATTTCAATAAACAAATAATAGCTCATTCGAAAGAGCTCGACGAGATGAGTTAAATGCCACCAAAATCAGCTCGATCCGATGATTATGAACAAAATTATGAACAACTTTATTTTCGCTCGAATAACTGTTTTGGTGTTGCCACGGAGGGTAGGTCGGCATTCAAGGCTGAGAATCAGTAAAAAGGAATAGGATTAAGTTACGAGCACAGAACCCAGCGACCGTTGACTCCCTGCGAGGCGCGTGCCGCAAAACCCCGCGCGGGGTTTTGCGCAAGCGCCTCGCCGACGCCCATAGGTTTAGGTTGACCATTTTGAGCCTCTTTATCTCGGCTCAAAGTTGAGACCTAGAGCTGATTTTGGTGTCATTCGACTCAGCTCGAGGAGCTCTTTCGAATGAGCTATCATACAAAAAATCGAATTTTTCAACCCAAAATTCAGCTTACTCCACCCTATGGTTTTTCAAATTTCAGGGACCTATATCTCGGTCCACAGGCATTTCTGTGGACCGAGATAGTGATTTGGTTAATCACTTTCCATTTCATTTCAACAAGAGGAAATTAAACTAACAACATTACAGTTTTTGGAAAATCCTAGTTAATAAAATCTAACAAAAAAACAAATACATATTTTTAAATAGTAATCAAAATTACTTTGTTTCCCTTTATTTGGAATTAAATAAAAAATTACCCGGAAAATCTGAACTCGGTTGAGAAAACGTAGTTTTAAGTTTGTCAAATAATTGTGAAATATCATTGTCGGAACTGATATGCAAAGTAAAGAATCCAATCTAAATATAGAATTGTGTAGAGACTTTCAAGACGCTTGGTCTTGAGTATTGACTCAAGACTTTTGTTGGGTTTTTTCTGCCTTGGTATCTAAAATGCCCGTGTGGTTCGGACCAAAATATAAGAAATAACTAAGACGAACCAAAAGTCCGTATACTATGCAATTTTTGTTATTAGATTTAAAAAATTTAAGATTCTTCTTAAAATTTAACAAAAATTTTGGTACCTTATCAAGAAATTCTTTTGTAGCCTTATTTTTCGAAACCGTCACTAACAGCTGATTCTCAAAGTTTTTCACTATTTTACGAAGTTCAGAAAGATAATTTCCAACAATATAAAATACTGAAAAAAAATTTAATAATTAAAAAATTTTTTGAATACCATTCTCTTGCTTAACATATTCAGTCATATCATATAATTTCAAAGCTTTAAAAACATCAATAACTGATTTGTTGGAGATTATGACATTTAAATGTCCTCTAAAAATTTAGAAATTATAATTAAAATTTTTTTAGGGATTTTATATCCGTTGTATTAAATTGGAATTTTAAAATATTTTAATTATATCACTCAAATTAGGCTCCCAAAAAACCGTCTATTTTAAAGGCTTTTGTCTCCCCCTTTTATGTAGTTTTAATTATTAAATGTAAACAAACCTATCAGACAAAAGCTTCATACATTCTTTATACGAAGCAGCGTCAATTTGCAAATTGTCCTTAAATTTACTAGGTAAATATAAAAATAACTAAAAATCATTACAAATTCCCAAATCAGAACCCATTTATTCTCAACCAATTGAACTTGGAGTGCTTGAACTTTTTCAGGTACACTTGTATTGTCAGACGAATAAAATTGAGGAGGAGCTGCAAATTCATTCATCAATTTCAGCATATCAATATTTGAATTAATAAAACGGACAACAAATCCATGCTAAATATAAAATTATATTAGACACGTAGACAGGAAAAATTTGGGTCAATCATGCTCAGCATCGAATTTTTAAATTTTAATTGGAAGACGAAATTTTTTCCGTTCCCAATTTCCAGGGGGGGATGCTTTAAAATGTTTTTAAAATCTAATTTAAAATATTAACAAAAATTTTTATACCTTAACAAAAAATTCCTTTGTATCCATATTTTTCGAAATTATCACTAACTGTTGTTTGTCAAATTTGTTCAATATTTTAGCAAATTCAACATGAAAATTTTTGATAAAACCAAAGACTGAAAAAAATTTAGAAGTAAAAAACAATTATGAATACCATTCTCCGGCTGAACATATTCACTCATATCATTTACAATCAAATCCTCAGTAATCTCAGTAATTGACTTGTTGGAGACAATAAGATTTAAATGTCCTCTGAAAATGTAAAAATTACAATTAAAATTTTTTTAGGAATTTTATATTCTGTAGTGTAAAATTGGGACATTAAAATAAAGGAATAGGACATTTTCCCCAAAAAGTACTTGAGGGTTGATGAGCGATACCCTTAGAAAACCAAAAAATAATTGGTTTTGAGAAATGGAATGTTGTGACATAGGGGGTTTTTGTTGGCTGGACCGATTTCGACAAATGAGGTGTCATTCGAAAGAGCTCGCCGAGCTGAGTCGATCGCGGGGGCAGAGAAGTCGATCCGACAATCAGGGACCGAGTTACAGACCCCTGAAGTTTGAAAAAGAGAAGGGGGGAGTAAGCTCATTTTGGGGTGAAAAATCCGAAAATGCAAATAATAGCTCATTCGACTCAACTCGTCGAACTGAGTCGAATGACATCAAAATCACCGAAATCCGACTTGATTGGACCGAGATATAGCCCCTAAAAACCGAAGATCCAAAGGGGCGATTTTTGGAATAAAAATTTTTTTATACAAATAATAACTCATTCGAAAGAGCTCGTCGAGCTGAGTCGAATGACACCAAAATCACCGTGATTGGACAAGATTAGACAAAGTTATGACACAAAAAACAAAAAACCTAAACCTATGGAGCGTCGGCGAGGCGCTTGTGCAAAACCCCGCGATTCGCGCGGGGTTTTGCGGCACGCGCCTCGCGGGGAGTCTACGGGCGCTGGGTCTGGGTCAGTAACATAACCCTATTCCTATTTCCCTTACTATGGACGTACTTGGGGCCTCCGTAGCAGCAAAAACCTCAACAATGACCATAGGTAAGGAGCTATACAAACGATCATAACTTTGTCCAATCAAGTCGGATTTCGGTGATTTTGATGTCATTCGACTCAGTTCGACGAGCTGAGTCGAATGAGCTATTATTTGCATTTTCGAATTTTTCACCCCAAAATGAGCTTACTCCCCCCTTCTCTTTTTCAAACTTCAGGGGTCTGTAACTCGGTCCCTGATTGTCGGATCGACTTCTCTGCCCCCGCGATCGACTCAGCTCGGCGAGTCTTTTCGAATGACACCTCATTTGTCGAAATCGGTCCAGCCAACAAAAACCCCCTATGTCACAATACCCGAGAAATGCGCGGGACAAAGTTATTATACATCCTTATAGGGAAGGTGTTTAACGATGTTTTACACATTAGATTTAATCATTAAAAACAGACAAACCGATTTTTGACCATCTTCATACATTCTTTATACGAAGCAGCATCATCAGAACTCATCAAATTCTCCTTAAATTTGCAGGTAAATACAAAAATAACTAAAAATTTTTTACCAATTCCCAAACAACAACACGCTTATCTTCCTTCCCTTGGTCCTGTGTTGGTTGAACATTTCCAAAAATTGACAACTGACGAGAATCTTTGACGCCGAACAACTCGTATGCTAAAAATTTAACGATTTTTAATAAGTAGAAAAGCTCATTCTAACCACAAGCACGAATTTCATCAAGCATTCCTTTCGTTATGTTGTTTTTTTTAATTGATTGCTTCATTTGATTCCCTTCGTCGACTGACTTATTTCCAGATTCAACTAATTTGTTCCCTTCTTCAACTAATTTGTTCCCTTCTTCAACAAGTTTATTCCCTTCTTCAACTAACTTCAAGCCCTTAGCTATCATATCCTTCCCTTCTTCATTCTTTTTCTTCCCTTCGTCATTCTTCTTCTCCCCTTCTTGAACCATCATCATCCCCTTGTCAATTTTCGTATCCGCTTCTTTGTCTGAAGAACCTTCGTCCAAATGTTTAGATAATGCTTCTAATAATGATAAAAATAGGGAACGTTGTCTGTCGAGCTAAATTAAAAAATATTTTTTTAATTTTTGAGTTTGTTCTCGAAAAAATTAAAAATAAAATTCACCTCTTCTTTTTTGTCCATATTAAGTTTAAAAAAAAGTCAAATATGGTTTATAATCTATCTCTAAAAATAAATTAATTTCGATAAAGAAAGATGTGAAAATGACTATAAGGAACCTACGACACTTAAAAATTGAAAATGTTTATATTTTCATAAAAGAGAAATGAAAGGTCAATCGAGTAACCTAATTTCTTATTATTTAAATGAACTTTTCCCGGTGTTAGACAATAGAGTATTGGGAGTTTTAGTATTAAATAGAGGTCGGTAAAATTGCAATCCCGGGGTCCCGTAACGGGATTTTTTTCAAAAATTTTTGTGGGACAAGATCCCGCGGGATTAATCCCGTAAATCCCGCTCTAAAACTTAACGGGATCCCGCGGGATTAATCTCGTAAATCCTGTTCTAAAATTTAACGGGATCCCGCGGGATTAATCCCGTAAATTCCAATAATCCCGTTCTAACCCATTAATCCCGTTCTCTATTTTGTGTATTTTTAAGCCATAAATTGAAAATTTTCTCCCGGGGAATGAAAATCAAAAAAAATTTTGCATGCGGTTTTTGCAAGCACTGGTAATAACTATTGTTGGGGTTACTGAAATACCGAGAAATACTGATAAAAATGTATCGGTATTCAGTATGGTATTTAAAAAATTAATTTATCTACTAAATTAGATTTAAAAAATCCAAAAAATCGGTCAATAAAATTTTTAACCTATTTTTGACCGGTCATATATACGACACATGCAGATATGACACTTGCAGATATGACACTTGCAGATCAGACATTTGCAAATCCGACTTTTGCAGATATTAATTTTTGAAAAAAAATTTAAATTTAAAAAAAATTTAAAAATCTTAAAAAATCAAAGGATATAGTATAGTATACCGGTGGAAATTTCGATATAAGACCCATACCAATTCGTCTCGACGAGCTGAGTCGAACGGCACCACTCTTTTTTCCGGAGATTCTCTTTTTTCCGGAGGTTCAAAATGTTCTACGTAGATTCGCGCGGGGTTTTGCGGCACGCGCATTTCGGGGTGTCAACGGTCGCTGGGCTCTGGGCTCGTAACATGATCCTATTCCTATCATCGATGAGATGTGCATCACAGGATTCCTCCGCAGCAGCAAACACTCCACGGTGTATAGGTAAAGTAAAGAAGAGAGCGAAATGGGTCTAATCTGCAAATGTCTGATCTGCAAGTGTCATATCTGCAAGTGTCGGGTCTGCAAATGTCATATCTGCAAATGTCATATCTGCAAGTGTCGTGACACTGTTTGACCGATAAAAGTTTTGAGTCAAGATATAGAGCCTTGGAAAAATAATAGGATCTCCTAAACAAAAGATATCACAAAGCGTAAAAACTCAAAACTATCTCACAATCAGAAAAATAACAAAAGATTCTCACTATAAGCTCGTAATTAAATAATATGTACCTCTTTATCAGCCAAACGTTGATCGATATCAATTTTCTTAATTTAAGAAAATATTTTAAAAAGATTAGATTAAATATGAAAAAATGAGTTTAATTAGTTACGGGAACTAATATCTACAAATTTCGCAGACGGTGTCTATTCTCAAGCTACACTTTTGAGAACAGATTTTGGTATAGTTTTGCTAACCCACCCTTTCCCTGAGCATTTTGCGTTCGTTTACTTAATATACATTATAATCTATAGTATATCCTGCAAAAGAACTCCGAGCTGGGTCGAATGATACCAAGTCGGCTAGATTTGATGAATATGAACAAAATTATGAAGCAAAATCCTCGCTGGAAGGTTTTTTGTGCCGCTGCAAGGGATCAAATAAACTCATAACTAGAGAGCGGATTTTTATTGAAATAAATCCGCAAAATATGGCCATAAAATATTGAAATACCGTATTTCTAATAGTGCGACTGTCTCTAATAGACTGACCCCTTCTAATAAACCGACTCCCTTACTTCCAGCGTTAATATTGTGTCTTTTATTTTTATAGCCATATTATTTTATAGAGTGGAACAGTGGCAGGCGCATTGCGTTATTTATGTTAAATTTTGGCTTTTCGTTGCGTTTTGAGTTTTTAGAGATCGTTTCTTGCGCTAGGGTACTTATACGTGAGTTTTATTATCCGCCCTGTATTTGTCGAATTTTGATACTAGTAAACGTGAATATAATTATGGTGAATATATTTTACATATGTGTATGACAAAAACTTCTTTCCACCTTAATTTTTTCAAAATATTCTTTTACATTAAAGTATATGATGCCAGAAGATGTCAGTAAATTAGTAGCACATCCGTACCAATATTTTCTAACAGGTTGTTGGTATTCTGTTGTTCTATTGATAATTATTTTTTAATTCAAAATATGTAGCATTACTCCTAATTATACCAAAACGTATCTTTTAATTATTTTACAATAATGTAGTTACTTTTCTAATTTAGTTACTTTTCCGTTCTGCCATCCCCCCCCATATTAATGCTTAAAATATCGTATATAGGGCTAGAGAAGTCCTAACCTCTGACCCAGAAATTATCTTGGGCTCATAATGCTCAAACTTCAATTTTTATTTTAATAAAATGGTATATACACATGGGCACTCTGTTATTTTAATCGTTGGTCATTTAATGTGAATTTGAATTCTAATTGGTAATTTTTATAAGTACTTTTATGCCATGAGTTTAAAAGCAAGAGTAAGTATGTAAATTGGATTTTGATGAGTTATACGGCATGACAATTTCTGGACTGGAGGTTCTTTATATCGTGAAATAAATATAGACGATCGGCACCTCTTATTACTCTATATAAATTTTGAGCGTTAATGTAGGGGGTGTGGGGAAAAGTACCCTGATTTATCTCCAAGATTTTTGGCCGATAATTTTTTCAGGAAAATAAATTATTATATCTTAAGTTAGTTACATAACTAAAAAATCAAAAAATCCATTAATTCCAATATTTAACTATCGTAAAATCTCTAATAGAATGCCATGGCTATCAGAGAGTGAAATTCAAATAGAATGAGGACTTCTAGCCTCTCAAAATCCTCAAAATTTTCACCTGCGGCGCTAAAAATGGAAGAAAGTTGGCTTCTTGGCCTTCCAAAAGTCTCAAAATTTACGCCTTATTTAAAATTTTAATTATGTTTAAGCTTTTAAAATATGCCCTAATTTTTACCCTATTTTTGGCCGATTTCGCCCTATTTTTGCCATATTTTTAGTGGCTGCGCCCTATTTTATTGTTTTGGAAGGGGCCACCCTTATCCAGAGTATCCAGTTCAGTCCGGGATTTTGAAAAAATCCCGTAAGGGTTTTCGGATTTATTTAATATTCTGTCACACTTTGGTTTAAATGATAGTCCAAAACGGTAAGAAAAATAGAAAAGTACTGGGTTGAATATGTGCATATCCTTTTATATTTCGAAAAATTTCGGCATTTAAATAGTGGGGCATTCTAATAGAGTGTCGTATTCTATTCATTAAACATGTTCCAAAGTGTCTATTAGAGGTTGGCATTTACATAATTTGAGATTTTACGGTATTTATAAATATATTTTACCGTAATCCTTGATAAAATAAACTACTAGTTTCTCTAAATATATTAATAAGTAGTTCAAGAGGCAAGGATTTTCTTTTATTTATTGATGTTTTTGTTTTAGAATTTTGCTGTTTTTCTTCTTTCATTTGGAATTGTTAATTTTTGTGGAAAATTTCGGGGTTAATAGTTAATAAATTTAGATAATTTAATATTTAACTTAGTCTCATTATTAAGAATGTAGTTAACTCAAAATTGACCTAGTATATACAGACTATAAATGTATAAAAGATATTTAACAAATGCAAAGGTTATTTGTTGTGTGTATATGAAGAGAACCTTCTTTTTAGCTTTCTTTCCAAAATCAATATAGGTAGGTAGGTATGAATAAATACATAAGTATGTAATACAAAGGCCATTTTATTCGAAAAACTACAGGCCCAGAAACCGGATTTTGAATTTCATGCCGGACCAGGTCCGGCCGGATTTTTCCGGAGGCCGGATCCTAATCCAGGTTTTTTCGCGATCTCCGGATTTTTTACGGACCGGATTAATATGAAAAATCCGGCCGTCCGGTCCGGCTCAAGTTGCAAATCCGGATCCGAATACCAGCAAATTTTTTACATCGGATTTGGGATTTGATCCGGCACTGGGATTTCCCCAAATTTCTAGTATTTTTTATAAAAATGAGGATTTTTGACTATTGGACTTCTGAATTTCAAAAAATTTTCGCTCGCGGTGCTGAATAGAATGAATTCTTTATTTGCCTTCCAAAATCGGAGAATTTCACTGAGCCCTCACGATTGAGTTCGCAAGATTGAGTCTGTTGGATCCACATTTTAAGATAATTTATTATTAATATTTAAAATGTTATTTTATTTTCATTTATGTTCTTTCTGCAAGTACGGATACAACACTCTCCTTCCGCCTTGCGAAACCAAGCGTCCTCGCTTGTTGCTTGTCTTTCAATAACTATTAACTGTTTTTGATTTTTGGGAGAGCACACACAGAAACCCATTTGTGGCATTTTTTTCTAGCTGCTCACACAGAGTCTTACGCTTTCTCTAGCGTTGGATCCACATTTTAAGATAATTTATTATTAATATTTAAAATGTTATTTTATTTAATTTAATGTTTTTCCCTTTTTATTTAAATTATTCCCCCAAAACATATTTCAAATGTTTCTTTTACTTTTATCATTTTACAACATTTCCCCAAGACATTATTTGAATTTATTTCTCTTTAATGTTTCTTATCAACCTTTTCCTTAACCTACATTTGTCTATGTATCAAACTTGTAACTAATTAACCTTTCTTTACTTCCCGCCCTTTATCATCCCTATAAATAGCTTTTCATATTTCTAAATTTTTGCCTTATTTTGAACTTGTCTTTTAATAAATAAATAGTTGGATTTGTTAGTTGGTTTCCTCATTTAGTTGAGAGAGTTCAATTTAAATATATAAGGCCGGGGACATGAGTGTTGGATCCAACAGAGTCCCACTTTTATATAGCTCATTTGAGTCCCAG